TTAATTATTTTATACAATAAATATTATTTACACGATTACTTTTAATTCCTTAAATCTAGCAAAATAACTCCCTAAAATATACTAATAGGATCCGAATATTTGAGCTATGGAAGCTCAATATTTTTGGCCCACATGGTCAAATTTTGGGTGATTTATTTTGGAAAATTGTATTTTTAATTATCTTCTTAAAATCTCTTATTTTCCTTAATTTTATTTCTCCATCTTCTAAATATTTGATCATCTTATTTTCCTACCTTATATCTTTCTTTATTATTCCCCAAGTAATCTCTTTTTCCATATTATTTTTCATGACAACACACTTTCCTTATCTATTATTCTTAATCACCTTAATATCAAAACTTAAAGTCAGGTTCTCTCTCCTCCTCAAAAGTCTCTGTTTTCTCTCCTCCTCAAAAGAAAACACCTGCCGGAAATCTAGGTGCTCGCCGGAGATCCGGCACCGCAGCCGTTTCTCCGGCGAGTTTCCTCCCTTCCCCTGCTTTTAATCTGCCAAGCGCCGGCAAGCGAGGGTACTCTGTTTTTCGTTTCCTAAACTCCTCGTTCTGCTCTGAGGTGGCTCCAAACTCAGAAAGCCGCCGGAGCTCCGGCCGCCGCAGCCTCTGCGTCATCTTTTCCCCTCCTCTGTCTTCTTCTTCTATTGGTTTCTATTCCTCTTCCCCTTTATTTTATTTTCCCCTTCTTGGATTTGGAGGTTTCCTCACTCCGTTATCCTCTTTCTTCTTGGGGATTTTAATCCTTTGGAAGTGTTTGTGAGAGCCTTTTCTAAGTTTGAAGGTTCTGAGGGGAGTGTTTAGATTGTCCACCTCCATCGTCGTTGCCCACCTTTGTGTGGAAGGTTTGTGTTCGTTCAAAGGGTCTCTCCGCCGGTGAAACAAGGCCTAAGGACTAGGCCTAACGCCGCCGTCATAAAGGTCATAAGTAGTTTTGACCGTGACGGAAACGGTAAAGTTAGGGTTAGGGTTTCGTGGGTCCTTGCACTGGAGGGCTAGGTCTAACGCCGCCGTCAAGAGTAGTTAGTGACGGAAACGGTGAAGTTAGGGCTAAGGTTTTGAGGTTCCTAGTGTAAGTGGTTTCGGGTTGTCGGGTTGGACGGTGCTCTCCTCTGGTTTGTTCCCTATCTTAAGTATGTTTGTTCTTAGTATTTATCAGAGTTTACTTGCCTTATTTTTTGTTACGGTATGTTTTAGCCCCCTTTGGTTGTTTTATGGGCTATTCAGTTGTTTTGGCTATAGTATTTCGGATGGTTTTGTGCAGTGGGAGTTAAGCCCCTTTGTTAAGGACAGTGGGGTGTTTATTGTGGTAAGAGAGGTTACAGGTGCGGTTGTTGGGGGTTTGAACAAGAAGTTGGCCTTGGCTTAGGTGAAGTGTGTACGTTGTTGGAGTGGTATGAGTTTGGTTTCTCGATTTTTCCTCGGATGTAATGATTTTTTTGGTCATTACTCCTGATTCTTATTATCTGAAGCAGGCGCCCAAACTTTTTTTGGGGTTTCTCGAGCCTCAACTTTGTCAAAGCTTTCTTTCCAACAAGGAAAGCTATTGATTGGAAGGTCACTAGTTCAAGTGACCCGTTTGATGACCTTACTGGATGATGAGTTGATCCCGCCAGGTAAGGATGTGCTAGCCATGGTCAAACAGTTTCGATCCCCTCCGTTGCTCTCTTCTTGGAATGTAGTATATTTTTGCTCCTTGGTTTGTAAGGAGTCCCTAATCTGCGACTTATCCGGCCAATTCAAGTTTATTTTCGTCTTTAGTCTCAAAAGTTGTTGTAACGGCTTTAGTGTTAAAAGCCATATTTTAAGTTTAATTTCTTGTTCTGTAGGTTGTAAACTCTGATTTTATGAATACATTTGCTCTTGTCAACAAAAAAAAAAAAAAAAAAAAAAAAAAAAAAAAAAAAAATCAAAACTTTCCATATTTCTTTCATTCTCTTCTCCAAGTAATTCCTTAATTTTTTTTACCATAATTCTTCCTACATTCTCCTACCATAATTCATGCATGAGCTAGCCTATAATTACCCCCTCATACCTCTCATATTCTTCACACCAAAAACTCAATTCTCTTCTTCTCTTTTACTCTTCTTTTCCCTTAACCTTTTCCTACTTTTCTTCTCCTCTTTTCTAAAAGAAAATCTGCCTGTATATCTTTGGAGATAATTTTCGGGCACTTCTGGTCAGTATTTGGGTTTTTCTATTTCACAAAACATTGTTCCTATCAAAGAATCCTTGAGTTTAGGCTCAAGAATCACCCAATTAGGAGTTATATCAAAGGAGTTATGATCTCTACAAGTTGTGTCTATTATATTCTTTCCAACGCAAATTCAATTCTCTTTAATCCTATTCCTTTATTTTCTTCATGGTTAGTTTTCTAAAATATAAATACCTATTTCAAAGTTATAATTTTATAAAGTATTATTTTTAAAAGAGTTTTATAGTCCATGCACATTAGATTTGGGTTTATGTCTAAAGATATTGTGATAACCTTATGGTCATAAGGTTATAGTAATTGCAAGGTGTATTCGTGATTGAACGTTGAAAGTGCAAAGTGTTGATTGATATTCGGAATCTAGGTACATTTAGGTGGCTAGATACCTTTGAAATTGATTGGATTGAATAACCATGTTTGAGTGATTTTTATGATGATTGAATTTAAATTGAATTGAATTAAATTATAGTTTAAAAAATAAAAGCATGTTTAAATAATTGGTTTTGATAAATAAATTAAAGGATTGATTTTAGTATCATGTTTTGCATGGTTTGAAATTATTTATTATGTTTAAAGGAATTTGGTTTTAAAAAAAAAAGTATCTTGGATTGTTTTACAGAGCTTTTAAAAAGGTTTTTCAAAGGAAGAGTTATTGATTTTGAAAAGTTATTTATAAGAGATTTAATTCTCAAGTATTTATTAAAAGGTTGATTTTGAAGACATGTTGAATTAAATATAAAAGAGTTTTGATTTAACCTATTATTAAGGTTGATTTTATTTAAGGAGTTATTGAATTATTATTATTAAATCTTTATAAGCATATTGAAGTAATCCCACTATGCGGATTTGGTAGATAAGACTTTGGACTTTTATGACCGAGTCTTTCCTCAAGAATAGCCTTGAAATATAAGGAGACTAGCTTTGGAGGTGTGCACACTTGGTTAAGGAATTGGTTTTAAAAAGAGGAATTGGTTTTATTGAATTGATTATTGAAATATTGAATTATTGGAATTGGTTTTATAAATCGTTTCATCGAATTATTGAATTATTGAGAATTGGTTTTGAAACATGAGTTTTGGAATTCATTGGATTAATTATTGGAATTGGTTTTAAAAGTATGTTTGCAAATAAATTGAGTTTACATTATCTTGTACTTATCGTATTTAGCATATTTTGCTAATCCGTCTTTCCTATTTGTTTTCGTTCGTCCTGTTTACCATAATGGTAAGCAGTGTTGACTTATTTCAGGTGGAGTCAAGAATTATGCATATGGGAGTCCCAGGAATGTTCTTCACCTAGATTAGGAATGTTGGTCTTTGTTCAATTATGAGTACTCATGACTATGGTTACTATTTTATTATTATTAATAAAGAACGTATTGAACTTTCCGCCGCAAAGTATTGGTTTTGGTTAGTAAGTTGAGTAGCCTTTCGTAATCACGCGGCGGTAATACACCTAAGTCTATCTCTACGGTATAATTATACGTATTATACTGGTATTTCCATAGAGGGAGATTTGGGGGTGTTACAGCTTCGCTCAAAGTGGGGGCTTATAGAAAACACATAATTGTGTACCCGATAATTGAATAAGTATGGCTCATCCGATGTGGCTTGAATATGAAATGATCAAAGAAATATAAGCAAACCTTTCAAATTGAGCCCAAATTAATATCAAAAATAGTATAAAATTAGATATTCTAAAGTATCGGATCGGATACAGATTGGATCTTTGGATATTTGAATCTTTTAATAGTTTTGCTCAGCCCTAGTTTGATCCTTATAAAGCGTCCTATAGTTTTTTTAAGACTATAAATTGAAGATAAGAAAAATATTTTACTTTGAAGTATGAAATCCTACGTGGACACAACTAACCTTTTTGAGGAATAGTTTCAAGCTAGCATTATTTCAAGGTTTATTTATTTTTGGACACGATAATTTAGCAAATTAAATTGTTCTTTATAATACTCGTAATAATTTAATTAAGTACTATATATAAACCACAATATCATTAAAACAAAAATAAATTACTCCATTACGTCGAAGTTAAAACAAATTCCTAAAGTACCGTCAACTTAGGATTAGTGCTGGGTGATTATTTTTTATCTTTTTTTTAAAAATAAAAATTTGGTTCAGCATATAATCGCTATCGATGTATATTAATGATTTTTGTTTAAAAACTACTTCTACAATTAGCGATTTAAAAAAACAACATTCGATAGGACTGTACTACAATCGGTCATCACTTTCCCTACTTTGTAAATAACAAAAGTTTATGCAAAAGCAGTAAAGTGAGAGCGTAAGAATTCTAGATTTATACGTACAAAGAGATGACATTTCTCCATTATATTAACCGATCTCTTTACTTTAATGAAAATCGTTAAACCTCATATAATCGCTAATGTTGTTAGCGGTTTTAATTTAAATCGTTGAAGGTGTAGCGAATTATAATGAGCCAAAATAAAATAAAATCTCAAAACTGATCCTACATAGACGATACAAGAGGAATTTGTTTTAAAACCTTTTTTTTTATTTGTGAAAGAAATACATGTTCATAAAGGGAATTAGTTTTTTGTGGCAAAAAGAAAAAAAAAAGAAAGGAAATTAGTTTTTAATTCACTAATTTTTATATGTGACGTGTGACCAGCTATCAAAAGGTTACTTCGTTAGTGTTATGGGGTTATTTGGTCAGTATTATCAGAGTTACTTTAATTTTTAAATTCAATATTTATAAAATGATACAGTAAAATGTAAAATTTAAATTTTAAACACACCCAAAAAAAAAAATCCCAAAATTAGGCGGTCTTCCACCCAACAAAATTCAAAAATAGGAAGAGGTTAAACCCAAAAACGTGTTGAAAATGTTGAAAAACCAGTACATCCCTTAATTAATAACCAGCTCAACCCCGCAGCCCTTCACTCTAAAGCCACCGAGAACCCCTTTTGTCTTCTTCCTCTTTTTTTTTCTCTCTCTTTTTTCATCTTCCTATAAATAAAATCCCAATTTTATCCAAACTCAATCACTTATTCTAGATTCTAGATTTCACAAAATCCTACTCTTACTTTAATTAATCAATTAACTTATAACCCTCTTCAATTTTCATTTCAACTACCACCAATTCCTAAACCCCCAATTTCATCACATCACCAAGAATATCAGCTAAAAATTTAGAAATTACCCATCAATTCATCAAAATCATACAAAACCCTCTTTAAATTTGCTACAATTTCAAAAGATAACACCCCAATTGTAGGGCAAATTGAATTTGGTGAATGAGAGGTGATTTGGGGAAGTGGTCAAGAGCAGAGGACAAGTTGTTCGAGGAAGCTCTAGTAATATTCGGGGATTTAGCGACGGAAGAGCGGTGGCAGAAAATTGCCGACCATGTTCCGGGGAGGTCAGCGACGGAGGTAAGAGACCACTATGAAGCTCTTCTTCACGACGTCGAGCAGATCGATTCGGGTCTTGTTGAACTTCCGAGTTACTCCGACGAGTTGGCTGCGTCTTGGTTTGGTACCGAGTCGCCGTCGAATCGATTGAATCAAATATCTTTTGGGTCGTCTGATGGTAATAACAGTAATGCTAATAAGCCTAAACAAAATGATGTTGAGCGAAAGAAGGGTACTCCTTGGACTGAAGAAGAACACAGGTAATTATTATTATTATTATTATTGTTATTATTGTTATTATTGTTATTATTGTTATTATTATTGTTGTTGTTGTTGTTGTTGTTGTTGTTGTTGTTTAGTTTTAATTTGGTTGGGATTAATTATAACTTTTTGAAATATTTGCTTAGGAAATTTTAATTGGCTTTTTTGTTGTTATGTTTGATACGAGGTATAAATTTGAATTCTGATATATTTGTGAATAATTGTCGAAATGCCCAAATTGTTATTATTTTTTAATAACAACAAAATAATGTGCTAGTGTCTCTTTGCTGGATAATTAGCTTTAACTGGTTATTTTTGTTAATTTTGTTGTACACTCGGGTGTAATGTGTTACGCCCTTTCACTTAAGAAAACCCTCATCGAATGCTCGAATGTGGAGCATTGGAGGACTTGATGATGCAAGAGGGATAATTTTATACTCGGGTGTAGTATGGACACCGGGGTTAGTTTGTGACCACAATTTGGTAGAAGTTTGGTTGGAAATGGATGGTAATAAGGATGGGTATGAAATGTAGAATTTATATTTAATCAATTATGTCCAAGTTATCTGGGTTTGACAGGTCGTTTTATTAGGAGTAGTAATCTAGCACGAAAGCTTAATTAAAATATCTTTCAAACCTAGTTTTGATTAGCTGGATTACAAAGACAGACACCTAATTTCAATGATATTTTAGTTAGTTGGTAAGAAAAGCAAATCATATATCCGTTGTTTAATCTACTTATTGACCAGGTTGGGGTTCATAGCAGTTAGCGCAGTTATCCTTTGTACTGCGCGCTGGGTAATCCTATGTTGTTTGCTTATATGCCATTATAATTGATTTTCTGTAATGTTTGTCTAAACAGGCTTTTCCTGATTGGGCTCGAGAAGTATGGTAAGGGTGATTGGAGGAGTATATCGAGGAATGTGGTGGTGACAAGAACTCCAACCCAAGTGGCCAGCCACGCGCAGAAGTATTACCTTCGTCAAAACTCTGGCAAGAAAGAAAGGAAAAGATCAAGCATCCATGATATTACCACCGTTGATGAGAAATCTGCTGCACGGCCTGCTGTAGAACAAAGTTGGATTCCGCAACCTGGAGGCAATGCCATGGACCATCATACAGCATATCAACAAATGGGTGCATCACCCCCATTCAATGCTGCTAATACTACTCAAGAGGGTTCCCCATTTGGCTATCAAACTTTCAGGTTCCCAATGTAAATGTATGGAAGTGAAACAAAGGTGGTAGTGGTGGTTTCCGATACAGTCTGAATGTCTGATTCTGTACATATAAGGAAGTTGTGTGTTGTAGAATTTGTTTGGTAGTTATACTTTAAAGGGAATACAGGTGTAGTGGTGTGTGAGTGGAGTAAATATGAGGGCAGAGTTTTGGGGTTGAAGTACCCATGAATGAAGTGGTTTTTAGGATAGTGAAAGGACAAGTAAACATAGGCACTACATGATGGAAAGTGTTAGATGACAGTTAGAATGTACTTGTAATTTTAACTATAGCAGTCTTTTTTCTTATTTTAAACTACAGCAGTCTAAGATGGAATCTATACATCATGATATCTCAATTGCTAAATACTCTGGATATAATTGGTTTATTTTCATTCTGGTTTGTGCTTTTTATTCGAGGCTGATTTTGTGATGCTGAGATTTGTTGAATTTGGATTTGTGGATCGTCTATGAAACCAAGAGTTAAATCATGAAGAAAAGAAAGACTCCAAGTGGTTGAGTCTAGATCCAATCCAAAATATTTTGGATTTGAAACTTTGAGTCAAGAGTCCAAACTAAACTTTTTCAAATTCGATCCAACTAGACTGGACTGGACTAGATTAGATTTTGGACATATACGGATATACCCTTAATACTAAAGGGGAAACAAAGACTTGTGCAGTTAATAATAAAATTGACCTGCAATTTCACATGCACACAATAAGCTCTACTCCTGATCATTTATTCGCATCAAGCTTTTATACTCTCCTGAGAATTTTCTCGTTCATCACCATCAGTTGTATTGGTTATAAAAAAAGTGGTAGATTGAGAAGACCGAAACTCAAACTACCTTTGTTCGGGTGTAGTTGTCACATTACAGTTTAATTGCACCATCAACATGACAATTCATTTTGGACGGGGGAGTACTAAAAGCAAGATTCTTTTCTCAGCAGTCACAGGGACTCAAACCATTGCACTATAAGCCCATAACCAAACAAAGAAGACAACTTGCCTGAACTCATTAAACAAGATTGTACAGTACATAACAGTCTCAGGTTCTCAACTAAGTAAGATCGCATATAACAGAATCTCAAACCAGGGACAACTGATACAACAAGTTCATGAACAATATTGTACCCAATGTCTAGGCAAGCTATACAGGACATACAGATTCACTTGAGTACAATATACATTTATTTCCCACGAAGCAATCAGAGAAACTGCAAGACTCTGAATCTGCTATAGTTTTAGTGAGAATCTCCCTCAGTTTTCTGCAAGAAAAGGAGAATAAGAAAATGAGAATACAACATAAACATCGTGGTTGAACAAGCAAAGGATACAAAAGACAGATGATCCATTGAAAACTAAAGGAGATGATAATGGAAATATCAGCACACGTCTTTCATCAAGAATGCCAACATTTACATTTTTCCTTTTTTTAATCAAATTATCTGTCTTTATAATACCCTTCTCTAGAGTGCAACCTTTTAACCATCTACAATTGAGAGCATGAGATAGGAGAAATCTAATTTAATTTGATAAGAGTATCAATTATTATTGAGCCTTGTAAGTTTTCGTAGCTAGTTTGTTAGTATACAATTTCTTGGGAAGACATCTTCCGTCCATACTTGCAAGCCTTAGATATAATAAGAGCAAAGCAACTCGATGTAAAGGAAAGACAAATTTCCAACAGCTCACACTTTTCACTGGAAACCAAATAACCTCAATTTTCCTCGGTTCTTCATATTATCGCCTCCCAATAGCAGATAAGCACCAATTCTCTTTCACAATTTTACAATTTGTATTATTTCAGCCCCACTTATAACGATCAGAGTATACTTATTCAATATCAAGTAGTGGTAGAATTATTATTATTGTTGTTAATTGATCACTAAAAATCCAGTCCCAATTGTATACAATGGAGAATTTCTAATAATTATCCTGGTCCCAAAGTTTTTGGGGATAAAACAGAAGCTTTGGGGGAGGAAAAGATCATTATTCTAATTTTGAGCTCTGTTAACCATAGACAAAAAGCTCATCAGAACTTATATGGTTAACTCAGTTTTGTATCAATCACATAGGGTCAGTTACAACTTACAAGAATAGGACAATATTTGCACTTTTTGGCTTTTTCTATACTAGAATAAGCCAGAATCTCAGGTTTCATCATTCATGTAATGTTAAATGATGCTAAAGGGAGCTGTTCAAATCTTATAATCCATAAATTCAATAATAATCTCAACTTTCAGCAAAGCATTTTAATATCCCTCCCCCTCCTCACGATTGCAACAAAAAGAAAACAATAAGGCCCCAAAAATGAAAAACAAAAAAAATATATAAAAAATAATAATAATAATGATGATGATGATGATGATGATGATGAAAGAGAAACTTGTTTCATCATTTGTGTTTTAGAGCAGGCATATCGTTGCCAAAATAGTAGAAACACAGATATATGTTATGTAACACCACTGTTGTTTCTTCCTTATGTTTACTATTTCTATCAGACTACACATAAAAAAACATGTAACAAATGCAGAAAGCAACAAAGATTAAACTTCACAAGCCATGTCCACCACAAATGACACAATCAACTTAAAGATGTACCCCTACGGCCCCACCTATATGTCTCCGACTCTATTTCAATTCAAGTACTCGTATTGAATACTCCAGGAACGAATACAAGTATGACACTTAGACATTTCATTATGGACCCATACCATTCTAAGCCGCAACTGAACTTGGGCAAAGTATTTATGTTTGACACACTTCATAGTTCTTACTGAGTGCGAGTAACATAATCCACCAACAACAAATATTAACAGATTTCATGGGACTTTTGCAGAACAGTCAAACACAAATAAATGAAGATAAACGAAATCAACTAAACATCAACTTCATTTGAAACTAAACTATATACTCGTTTGGTCTATATTAAGTGTCACGTTATTGCTTCAAATTACACTATCAGCACAACTAAATAAAATCAAGCAGTATAACAAACAAATATCGGGGAAATACCTTCTCAGCACCCTCCTTTTCTTTCTCCGCCTTCTCTTTCTCTATCTTTTTTTTTCAGTTCCTCCCGCATCACCATCTACATTTTCTTCAAATAAACAGGTGAACAAAAATCAAACACAAACCCCCAAAATAGTGAAAAAATGCAAACAAGAAAAAATCCAAATTAACAAGAAAACAATAAAAAGGAGAGAGACCTGGATGTAGCACGATCCTTAGCACCCTTCTTTTTTCCTCCCACAGCTCTGCAACAACACGCTGTTCTTTTAGAACTGAAAGCGTTAGCGGAATTACGCCTGAACGGGAGACTACCTAACTTCGATTGGCAAAGCCAAGCTTTACCTAGGTCTAAAAGTTAAATTAAAGTCATTCAAACATCCAAATTAAGTTGTTTTAACCTAACCGCAAACTAAGTGAAGAAAAAGGCAATAACAAATGAACTTAAACATAGGCAAATCAATTACATTCAAAAGCCAAGGGCAAAACAACCTTTATCAGCCAAATTGAAATCAAACTAAACCAAATTCAAAGCACTTAAACAAACAACTAACAACAAAGGCATACAAGCCCAAAAGTTGGTTTCTAAACTCTCGATTCCCAACCCATCGTCACATAGATCAAATAAACAAATAGAACCTGCAAATTACAACAACGTTCCACAATTAGTGGGGAGTAACTAGACATTCTCACTCAAATCAAAAATAGAAGATTTTAGACTCAATTTAATAGAGAGAAACCACAACCACAAACAACCTGAAAAATCAAATGAAATCATTTAAAACCACCAACCATACAAACTATGAAATATTTCATAATCAACTTAAAACGGGAAATCAATATTAAAACAATTTACTCCGGTCATAATTTATATAAACTTCAAAATAAGTAAAAATTTCATATTTTCAATATTTCAAACTCAAAACTCATTCAAAACAGTAGAACTAGCATGGAGGGAAATCTAGTGGCCTTGCAATCCACTTCCTAAGGTTTGTCGGGACAAACCCCCGGTCATCTCACAGAGACCGTGTCTAAGATTGGCAACTCCTAGTTATGGGTAGATGCCTATAAGGTCTTACACACCCTCGGACGACAACAACTAACCCAGGTTCAGCTACCTAAGACTCGCAATCAAGGTAGTTAGCATGTTCATTAACCATGGGAAGCAACTCGGCACACCCGATTATGTCCCCACACACAATTCAAAATCATTTAAGATACTCAATATAATATATTTCATTCAGAAATCTACAGAGAAGCCTAAATGGTCTTACACTCAATTCAAACTGCATAAGAATATCATATTTCTTAAATTCAATTGAAACTCCATTTCAAAACACATTTCAACTGAATAAACCACAAAAGGTATCGTCTGAGTTTGAGAATATAATTAATTATCAAAATTCAACAATTAAGTGCATTCACAACTCTTGGCAAAGTAATGCTAAAGACTTTATCCTTATCGACAATACAATTACAACTCACACATATTCAAACACACATCAAAATATTTTACTTTAGGGGTTTATAATACCCAAAAATTTACACGTTAGTTATTTAAAATATAATTTCAACTAATATATAATAGTTATAATAAAAATTCCATAAATTCATTTGATAAAACCAAAAATCCAAACTACAATTTTATAAAGCAACCAAAACAAGGCAGCAACATATAAGTCCAAAAATCATCATAAAAACCCAACAAAACATGCTTCAAATGCGAAATAAAAATTAGGGCACATACATACACTCAATAGGCATCATATAAAACCATTTCAGACTTAAAATTTAAGAGAGAACATGCCCAAATAAAATCATATTTACAGCAGCCCCTACACTAATTATACAGCAGTACCAATCATACCAAATCACCCAAAAAAACCCACCTTAAACATGAAACTAAGCTTAGCCCATTAGAATATACACTCTAAAAACGTAATAGGTCAAGATAGGCACAAGATTAGGCATAAAAATTAGGCAATACATCACTTAAATTCACTCATTCCACACAGTTCACAACAGACATGGCAGCAACACCTCTTCTTAGTTTTAGGCTATTAAAACTAATCAAACTTGCTTGGAATCATGCCAAATTAATTGGGTGATACCCTAACATGATACTAATTTATTTTGGGCAAGAAAATCAATCAATATAATCAGATTAATGACCTTAAACTCACGCCCAACACGCTGTACTTCCAGTCGGCGGATTCCAGTTTCCCTCGCCCAAAAACAAGTCCTAAACATGCCCATAATCAAAGTTTAACACATGGAACTTATACCTAACTAACCCTAGTATGCCACCACACATTAATCAGCAAGAATAAGCCCAAGAAGCCAAGGTAAACATGCCCCACAACCACAACAAAACTCATGACAGGTATGTAACATTTCAGCAGTACCTATGGTGCATTTTGAGCCTCAAAACCATGCATAAACTCATTAAAAACATCATACAAAGATCATACAACATCAAGGCTTTGATATCAATCAAGTTTGGGCACATAAACATGGATTAAAATCACTAATTCATGCTCTATATCTCACAAATTATAGCAGCCACAAAGTGAACGAAAATCACAAATAAACCTAATCCTAGCCATGTTTCTACCTATCAATTCAACCCTAAAACCCAATAGTTCTAACCCAAGGGAGTAAAGCTAGTTACCTTGATGTATAGGCCATCAAAACCCAAAGAAAAGGGCAGCAACACCAAGCACAAACAGCAGCAAACACACGAACAATCATCCACCCAAGCAGCCTTGCTCCCTTGCTTCGTTTTTGTGCTGTTTTAGAGAAGAGATGGAGCACGAAATTGCAGAGATTATAGCAGCAAGTTAGGCTTTGTTTTCCCTTTGATTTCCACGTTGAATCCCACGAAAAAGATGGAGAGAAGAGGGGTGAGTTGCTGCATCTTTTGGTGGAGAAAAACTGATGAGTTTTGGCTTTTTATTGTATGTGAAAGAAGGGGAAGTGAAAGGGTTTTGGGCAGCAAGTTATTAGGTTTTATTAGGATTAATGAGGGTGAATATGGGGGGTTACTTAGATTGAATTTAGGCAGTAGTAAAGCCTTATGGTTGCCGTGAAGAGGGAGGAGAAATGGGCTAACTTAAGCTGCACTAATGGGCTTGATTGAATGATTAGTTGAGACTAAAGAATGGGATTAAGGAAGCTAATAAACAAACCTATCTTAATCTATTTAGTCATGAAAGTGTTAAAGGCAAAACCCGACCCATAAACAAATTCTAGTTGGCCCGAAACTAGACTAGGAAAGGAATGTAACGGGAGGTGATTTGAAACACGTTTAAAAACGATAATATGTATTATATTATTGATATCTCAATAATAATTACAATAGTAACAATGAAAACAATAATTTAAATTACGATACAAAAATATATATTAAGTTCATATTTTACAGAAAAGAAATATAAAAGGGCAAGATGTGAAACCAATTATATTTACAATGACCTAATTAATAAAAGGACATTATAATGAGTTTTATAAATATAAACTAAAGAATAGTTTATAAACTATATCAATTTGATAAATGATTTGACGGAATCACCCAATACAACTTTTGCTTGGGGTAAAAATTACCCCTGCCACGTGGCCAATGAGGGATTGACACGTGTCACCCTTATACATGCCTAGAGGGATCCAATCAGAGGATGCCACGTGGCATTGTACCCCCAATGGGGAAGCAGATTCCCATCTGCTATAAATAGAGGAAGCATCCTCATTTATTGGATATACACAAAGACCAACACGAATCCCGAGCAATATTAATAGCGGAATCTCTCCGAATCAGTGAGAAATACCTACTTACTTTCCGCACATTCACTTATCCGGAATCATACTAACTTGATCGTCGGAGGCGGAACTCCACCCAACCGGAGTTTTGTGGTTTTGCAGGTACAGACGTCAGGCGCGCATACTTAGTATTGTAACTCTCCCGAGGGACTCCAAAAACACCTGAAACATTTGGCGCCGTCTATGGGGAGAGTACTATTGAGATGGCATCCGACACTGTACCGAATGCAGAAGGCAGTCGGCCTACGGCTGACCATGAGGTCCATACGGACCATGACAGCGGTGACGACTATGAAGTCAACACCTACATGGCCCCAAACGGGTCATTTCGTTCCAGGCGCACCCGTTCCAAAGAAAAGAAGGAACGGGGCCAAGACAAAGCTGGACAAAGCAACCCAGGCGGCAAGCACCCTGGGCAACCCTAGGCGGCGGAGGGCACAGCCCCCGTCACCAGAGACGAACTCATGAATCTCATGACTAGTTTCAAGGGGGAAATCAAAGACATAATCAAGAAGTCAACTGGCTCAAGTAGGGGTTAGTCGGTAAAGAAGTCTTCTCCCTCCGGGAAGAAGCAACTCAAAGACCAGGTGCCTACTCCACACCCCAAACCCAAGGGGACGGATGGGCCCCTGATCGACCTCTCAAAACTTCGTTTCCCTAAATCAGGGCAAAGGAAGGCCATCCGGCATACACAGCCGAATGGGTCAAAGAAGACTTTCTCTGACGCCCGGATGTTCATCCAGGAGAAGAGAAGTCAGAGCATGTCTCAGTCGGCCTCCACGTCGACCTATCCAGACAGTTTCCAAAACACTTCCATGAAGCATTCGGAGACGCATCAAGGGAGTCAGTCACGCGGCACGTCCGCGCGTACTGCCCCTCATGTTATCCAGCAGGCTCCGTATGTGCCCCAATAGCCATACGCGCAATATGGATCCCCATTCATGCAGTCGGCTCCTTTTGGGGGTCAGGCGGCATATCAAGTCCAGCCCATGGACTGGCAGCTCCGGCTGCTAAACCTTGGGGAACAGCCTTCGGCTTTCTCCCGAGAAATAACCGAGGCAACACAGCCGACCAAGGTTAAAAATGTGTTGGTCGGTACCTACGATGGTACCACCAACCCGGAAGACCACCTAATGGCATACACCAACCTTATGTACCTACAGGGGTTGGATGATGCCGCTTGGTGCAGATGCTTTCCGGCTACATTGAAGGGCATAGCCCAACGATGGTTTGGCAACCTGCCAGCCGGGTGCATCAATAACTTCAAGACGCTTGCATACCTGTTCGCGTCCAACTTCTCCATGAACATTTCTGCCAAAAAGACAAGTCTCGACCTAGGGGCTATACAGCAGGGTGACAAGGAGGGACTTCGGTCCTATGTCAGGCGGTTTAATCTGATGAGAATTCAGATTTAGGGGCTGTTTGACGAAGTTCCATATACAGACTTCTTCAAGGGTTTGAAGGATAGGTCAACTTTTAAATTTGACCTGGTCCGCAAGAGGGTAGCTACCCTCCAGGAGGCGCTGATGGAGACTGAAGCCTATATACAGGTTACTGAACTCTGTGCTGTAAAGCACCCGCCAGAACCCAAGCGGTCCGAAAAGAGAGACAGCCGGCCAACCTAGCCGGCCAAAAAGGAAGAAAAGAAAAGAAAAGAAGTCTGGGCAGCAGGCCGCACTGGTCAGCCGTCCCAGAAGAAACAGAGAAAGTTTGAGCCGTACATCTCCAAGTACGAGTTCAACAAGGACTGCTCCTCCATTCGGCCTCATGGAGATTAAAGACCGGTTGACCCTTGAAAAACCGGCTGCAATGAAGAGCTTTGTCAAGAACAGAGACAAGAGCAAGTATTGTGAGTTCCATGAGGATGTAGGCCATGACACCAATGGTTGTTATAGCCTCGGGCGGCTATTGGACCGTCTGGCTTATGAGGGGGCTCTGAAGTCTTACCTGGTGAAATCCAAGGGCAACCCCAAATCAAGCGGTGGACAACCGTCAAAGAAGCCAACTACAAGCTCTGAAATTGATGAAGAGCACATCTTCACCATAGCAGGCAGCTTCGCAAGTGGGGGTCCTACCATTTGGGGCACCAAGGACAACAACCGGAAGCTGTCCAACCCAGAGGATGAAGGCTAGGCGTCGAAAGACACCTTCCCTGAGGTCTTCATCTCTGAGAAGGATCGGGGTATGGTCAAGAGGCCCCACGATGACCCCATTGTCATCGAATGCAAGGTTGCCGACCAATGAGTTGGCCGGATCTTAATTGATACCGGGAGCTCGTCTGACCCGATCAGCTATCAGTGCTTGACGAAGCTCAAGTACAAGCCTAGCAGCATGCACAAGGCTCCTCACCCCCTAGTCGGCTTCGGGGGAGGAGTAGTGCATCCGGTGGGAAGGATTGACCTACCCATCCGGCTAGGAAAGAAGGGGGAAGGCCGACACATGGTCGTAAAATTTTTGTTGGTTGAGGAATTGACCGCCTACAACCTTATTCTAGGTCATCCCACCCTCAACGAGTCCAAGGCAGTCATCATCCCATCTCTTATGCTGATTAAGTTTGAGAGTAATGACGGGTCAGTGGGTGCCCTAAACGGGGATCAGAAGACGGCTAGGGAGTGCTACCTCTCAGACGTTAGACCGACGGCTACGGCAGCCGGTCATAACGAGGAACCCATTGACCTCGATGACAAGGAAGTCGCACCTGCTCCCAAAGCAGCCGGCAAAAAGAGAAAGGCGGACCAATTGGTCCCCGCCAAAAAAGAAAAATAGCAATCACTGACCGAGGAATGGCCGGATGACTCCCGACCCCAGCCGGCTGGTGAGAGCATTGATGTCGTCCTGGACGACAGCCGCCCTGACAGAACCGTCAAAGTTAGGACGGTTGTTTTTGAAAAGTTAGGGGTAGACTTGCTCCAACTTCTGAGAGAGTTCAAAGGTATTATTCGCCTTTGAAGTGGAGGGGATGCCAGGCATCAGCCCGGATCTAGCCGTCCACAAGCTTGCCGTTGACCCCAAAAAGAAGTCGGTTAGGCAAAAGAAGAAGGATCATGGCAAAGAGAGGTCTCAGGCGGCAGCCGCTGAGGTCAAAAAGCTCCTGATGTTGGGTTCATTCGGCAATGTCACTTCCCGGATTGGGTAGCAAATGTTGTCCTTGTCAAGAAGCCGAATGGTACCTGGCGGATGTGTGTAGATTACACAGATCTGAACAAGGCATGTCCGAAGGATAGCTATCCGCTTCCTAAGATCGACAGCCTAGTCGACTTTACAACCTGTCATGCTTTGAAGAGCTTCATGGCACCTACTTAGGCTTCCATCATACCCCCCCTATGGAAGAAGGATCAGGAGAAGACGACCTTCGTCACTGATCAGGGGTTGTACTGCTACACGGTGATGCCGTTTGGGTTGAAGAATGCGCCTGCAACCTTCCAACGAATGATTAACACGGTTTTCATCAATCAAATCGGAAGGAATGTAGAGGCGTATATTGATGACATGATAGTCAAATCCAAGCTACAGGCGGATCACCTAGCCGACCTCCGAGAAACCTTCACCACCCTCAAGCGGCACAAGGTCATGCTTAATCCCAAGAAGTGTGTTTTTGGTGTTGAGTCTGAAATGTTTCTCGGATTTCTGATTGATCAAAGAGGTATAGAGGCTAATCCGGAAAAGGTACAGGCGGTAATTGACATGAAGACACCCCGCACTGTCAAGGAGGCCCAGAAGCTAACCGGTTTCCTGGCGGCATTAGGAAGATTCCTCAGTCGGTCAGGTGACAAGTGCCTTTACTTCTTTCAAGCAATCAGGAAGAGGTCTAGATTTGAATGGGGAGAATAGGCTGAGGCGGCATTTCAGAGGTTAAAGCAACACTTGCATTCTTTGCCAAGGCTAGAGAGCCCCCTGCCTAAGGAGGTTCTCTACATGTACCTAGCCGTCTCAGATCACTCGGCTCCCTTAGTGTTGTTCTTCTTGCTGAGAAAGACGGAAAACAGCTCCCGGTGTATTTCATCAGCCATATACTCAGAAATGTTGAGCTCCGGTACTCAATGATTGAAAAATTTGGGTTGTCTCTTTACAAAGCAGTCAAGCGGTTGAAGCCCTACTTCTTGGCTTATCCGGTGATTGTCTATACTGACCAGCCACTCAAGCACCCAATGACTACCATAGAGTCATCCGGCAAAATGATCAAGTGGGCTGTTGAAATGCAAAGCCTGGAGATAACTTTCGAACCTAGGCGGGCAGTGAAAGGTCAGGCGTTTGCCGACTTCATTGT